AGTCAAATTATTTTCATCAATCGAGGTTGACACCATCTTTGCCCATTGAGATCGTGTCACTGCTTACCCTACTTCGGCTAACTCGAAGTAGGGCGAGAGCCATCCAAGGTTAGGTGTCCCCAGAAAGCATTCATGTTGTGAATAAGATAACTGCTATTAATAATCAAGTAGTGGCCTCGGATGCAAAAGAGAATAAGAAGACGACGACACTTAACATGTAGGGGAAAAGTCGCTAGAATACGAAAGAAAGTATATCAGCCTTGTCCGAAAAGCACTTGAAAAATGAAACGAATGTAACTGTGCCAACAGAAGAAGTGGAAAGAATTGGACAAATGACGCCCAACCTCAATAATGCCCACACAGTGTGCTCCTTTCCGAAGCCCAACTTGGAGGGATTATCAATTAGCTCAAAGACATATGGTTATGTACCCAGGGTGGAATTAGCTGCCACCACGAATTCCCACGTCGGCAGAGTTGATAACAGAGCTGAGGAAGTCTCTAATTCATGCGAGACAAGTTCTCCACAGAGCCCTCTGCTGGAAGGCATTGTTGATCAACCCCATTGTATAACTATTGTTGATGCCTCAACAGGATATACGGACGAACTTCACGGGGACACAACTACCAATACGGCAGCACCCTTCTTTTCGCCAGTCCATTTCGACGAGGTTAAAGGACCAGTCAACGACGTCCAAACCATACAAAATAGAGCAATGTTTAACAAAGACCACTGTATCATAATTCAGGGCCTCCCAGAGTCCTCCGCCAGTACCCCAGGGAACGAGTCGCTGCTGACTTAGAGCAATTCCAGCAACTCCTAAATGAAATGCTGCAACCAGCAGAAGATGTCACTGTCCTAAAGGCGTTTCGTATTGGTAGCTGTACAAACGCCACTCCACAGACGCGACCACGACCCCTGAAAATCGTCCTATGTAGCAATGAGCAGGCGAAACTAATCGTTTTCAGGCGTTTTTGACTGAAGCATTCCCATAAAGGAGTGTTTTTCCAGCCGGACTACTCACCTGCCGAGAGAATGAAATGCCGCGAACTTGTCCTAGCATTGAGAACACGGCAAACCAACGGAGAAAAAACTCGACGAATCACAAAGACCGGATAGTCAAACGACATTCCGTTCCCCTCTGGACCAAGCCGATTCGAATGACCGCGCAGATATCCCAGTAGCCTGTTTCGGGGTTGAAAACAAATCTCGCATTAACTCGCAATTCATATTCATGTATACTCGATTTTTGCATTCAGAAAAGCTCCCACAAATTTTGGTGGCTGAATCCACAGATCGGTTGTACCGTAGCGATGGTGTTTGTGGTCTCTGAACACTATGGCCGGTCTCACCAGGGACAATTTCTTTGGCCAACAGCGACAGCTGTTCTTCGGCGCCTCTATTTTGACTATTCCCAACCTCATTAAAGGAATTGGCGTCTGATAATCTCCGATATCGTGCAACCCCTCCCTTTTTGACGGTCGAGATTTTGTGAAAAGCTCCCACAAATTTTGGGTGTTAAAACCTCTGGTCGACTCTACCGTAGCGATGGCGTTTGTGGTCTCTGACCACTATGGCCGGTTTCACCAGGGAAAATTTCTTTGGCCAACAGCGGCAGATGTTCTTCGGCGCTTCTGTTTGGACTAGCCCCAACTTCATGAAAGAAATTGGCGACTGATATTATCCGATACCGTGCAGCCCTCCCTTCTCGACGGTCAAAGTTTTTCGCCAGCAGTTTTTTTCTCCTGAACCCTCCAAACCATAAAAACCGTCAAGTATATTTTTATTTCCTTCCCACAGGAGTTTTTTCACTGCTGGCCTGATTTGTGCCTGTAAACTGGCATTAAATAAATCATTATGTATATTACATATACCAACGCGCAGTTTACTTTCAAAATTGGATGAACTCCGTATCCATACCTTCGACCTCCACCCAGGCGTTATCTCAATAACAGAAACACGGTTGTCCGAACACGTTGATGGTAGAGAGCTCATGCTCCCTGGATTTCAACTGTTCCACCGAGACAGAGAAAACAGAAGGGATGGAGGTATAGTAACATTTGTTAAGAATAGCTTGTACGTTTCTGAAAAAACTGCCCAATTGACTTGTAGTACGTAAGCACTATGGCTGACCATAAGGGCACCGGGCTCTCAAAGCCTCGATAGCTTGACAGTATATCGCCCCTCGAGAAATGGCCCTGACGCTGATGCCCAACTGCTGGAGGGGCTCGGATTATTTTCAACGCGACCGACTACTCTCATCGTTGGAGATTTTAATGCAACTTACATAACCTGGAGCTCGGCCTCAGCCGACTGCTCTGAAGCAGCATTCGACCAAAGTTACTGCATACCTCCGACAATCTGCTTCTCCCCCAGCACGTAATGTTTCCAACGAGAGTTCGAGAAGGCCAACAAATGAATTGCCTCGATCTTCTGTTTACCAAGTCCTCTGGCAACATCGACGTTGTGAATTGACTCCCCCCATTGGGTCAGAATGACCATGTAATTCTCATGTGGGAATACACCTTATTCTCCCTTCCTGCACAACCGCTCGATTCCCGACCTAATATTTGGAGCGATGATTTCGAAGAGATGAAAATGGATCTTAGTCCTATCGACTGGGCATCCACACTCTCCGGCAATGTCGAAGAGGGTTGGTGTCAGTTCAAAGAGTTAGTCCACAACCTCATCTCCAACCACTGCTCAATCATGCGCAAAAGACTAACAAATAGACCTCGCTGGTTGACTCCGTCATTAAAGAAGGAAGTTAACAAGAAGAGGAAGCTATGGAAAAGATCGCTGACGGATCGCACGCCAGAATCCCTAAGCAGTTATAAGTTACCGATAAATTGGGTTGAAATTCTAATCGCCAGAGATCGGAAAGCCTTTGAAAAGGATCTTTTGAACCCGGCCACGTTTAATCCCAAAGTCCCTTACAGCTACCTACGACAGAGTACACGGAACAAAGATCCCATCCCACTGCTGCGAACGGCCGAGGGAAAGGAAATCTCCGATGACAAGGATAAGGCTGAACATCTCTCTCAGTTCTTCCGGTCCGGCGTGACAAGAGAACCTGATTTTTTCTCACCCACTCATGAAGGCAAAGAAACGTTTACCCTCGAAGCCGTCTTCCTCACCGAAAATTGTTCGAAATGAGTTATTAAAGCTAAACGAATCGACCTCCCCAGGTCCTGATGCAATTCCGGCCAAGCTGCTGAAGGAACTAGCTCCCGAAATGTCCAAGCCACTAGTCAAGATCTTCCAAACGTCATTTGTTACTGGATGCCTGCCCTTTGATTGGAGGTCCGCTACCATCACTCTGCTTTTTAAGGATGGAAGTCATGCGTCTGCAAATAATTATAGGCCAGTGAGTCTTACCTCTATCTGTTGCAAAATCATGGAGAAGATCGTTAAGAAGGCCTTGATGCAGTTCCTTGAGCAGTACCACCTCCTCTCCGATGCCCCACACGGCTTTCGAGGTGGTAGGTCCTGCCTCACGAATATGCTATTTACGCTTGAACGCTGGACCAAAGCACGCGATGAAGGCAATGTGGTGCACGCCATCTACATCGACTTCAAAAAGGCCTTCGACATCGTTCCCCACCAAAGTCTCTTGCACAAACTGCGCAAAGCTGGAATTCGTGGACGCCTTCTTCTATGGATCCAGGGATTTTTTCTAGTCGGTGCCAAAGAGTGCAGGTCGGGCTTCAACAGTCCTCAGATGTTAGCGTGGTGAGTGTCGTCCCACAGGGCTCTGTCTTAGGTCCCACGTGATTCCCCGCTTTCATTAATGACTGCGTCAAGGACCTAGACTGTGATGCCATCCTGTTTGCCGACGACATAAAATTGTGGAAAGTTATTCACAAGGCGGCAGACGCAGACCACCTGCAAGCAAACTTGAACAGGCACGAAGACTGGTCGAAGCGCTGGCTTATGCCCTTCAATATAAGCAAGTGCGACTTTCTTCAACTCGGCAGCTTCAGAGCCTCCAGTCCCAGGACTTACATAATTAAATAAAAAAAACCTAGTCAATATGAGACTTAGGTCTGAGCTATGCAAATACCCCTGACTCACCTTTCCTCATTAAACAAATAACACCAAAATCCACTCGCCTGTACGGACTCACATGTAAAGATTTTCCCTTAAATGTACTTAAAGTGCAACTTTTCATAATGTACGCTCAACCCCTCTTAGAGTGCTGTTTTACTGCCATTGGCATAATGCCTTTAGATGACCGAAAGAAACTGAAGGCACTCACGGACACTTTACCAGGTCATTGTCAAAATGTGATGGCACCCAAGGTTCATACTTAGGAAGATACCATAAATACAGTCCTCAACTCCTCTGGATCAGAAAACTCAAAACAAATCAAAACATCCCGCGAAGCACTGGAAATGAAGAAGATTTTATAAGAATCCCCAAATTTGAAAAGTCCCAACGTTTAAATTTCTACTCCATACGATATGCGACTATGTGTAATGCCCTCCAAATTCTATTCACAAAAGTCGAAACCATATAGAATTCATGTAAAAACTAAGAAATCCCTTTCAAATAATTATATACACTTATTTTTGAATAAGATAGGACTGCACTGAACTGATAGGGCATTTCTCAAGGCAATTATTTGGTATAGAATTTGGCCTGATGATCACATTAAAAAGCCGACCGAAGGATACCACCAATGCGTTAAAAAGATGAAGGAACGTACAAAGATTTCCAAATGTGGATGACTACGAGTTTGATGCTGTAGAACTCAAATTGTCCTTCACAAGCTGATTACTCACTACCAGCCTTGTAAATAATTTCGTGGTCTACCCTTTTGCCGCACAGATTCACATTGAACGGAAAAAAATTTCGTGTTGAATATTGGCTCGGACACATCCCAAGCGTGTCAGTTTTGTAGGGACTATAAACATGAAACATTTGCTGTAAATTTGATGGTTCACCAAGGGCTTCGCCCATAGCCCAGTAGCACCAGACGATACAAGAAAATATATAGATGCTGCAACGGCATATAAATAGTTAGCGTGGATGGGAGACGAAACACCATGCTTATTTAACAGCCGGCAAGGAGAACAACGTTCTGGAAGCTGCAGCTATGGGCCATTGGGATTGCTGGCGCAGGGGGGGGGGAGGGGGCGAAAAGAGCGCCGCAATCGGTGTCGAATGAGGGACCTTCAGCAGGTGTGAGAGAATGGACAACGGCAACCTTTAGCAACAAACAATTACACAGTTCCTATCTTGGACCCCACCGAAAATCACTTCAGTCTGCCCGGAGGACTCTGTAGATTCCGTGGTTTACTACAGGATTCTGGACGATTCTAAGATCCGGAATTTCCTACCTTTGCCTATTTGAGCACCATCGGAACACCAAATAACCTATCACAACCTGAACCACTTTGGCTGCTAGACCCTAAGGCCGTCTCCTCCACGCTCAATCGAGGAATGCCCCGCACCCTCCGCGCAATCAGTTGCCTTTCAGTCCTGCGCAGTGCTTTAAGACCTCAATGGCGATTTCTCTCATCTTCCACAATCGATCCTGTAAAGAAGGAAGGCAGTTTATGTCCACCAAATATCCAAGGCCAAGAGAAAATCTTCCCTGCGCACATCGAGAGTATTGCCGATTCGATAGCGAAACTGACGCTTTTGGAAGTAGCAGACCTAAATGAACTCCTAATTAAACGACTAAATATAAAGGTAGGATCTCCTCATTGCAATCCTGAGTAGCTACAATAGCCTTTTAAGGCGATCATTATTGTGGCAGGTTGTCACTTTCCTCGTGTTATAAGTTAGTAACAGGTTTCTTTCACGAAATCGTTAGCTTTCAAATCGAAACCTCATAATCAGCATTTAGGAATTATAATTTCGCCCTGATACAAAGGTGCTAGCACCCCATCTTCTACATATTTGTGTCTACAGCCTTCTCAGTTGGCACATCTCCGTACTAAGGGCTGGGATGGACCGACCCATGGTCTAGTCCAAGGGGTCGTTTGTTGTCATTTTTATTACAACTGATCAACAATACTGCCCGGTTTTGCAGCACAGATAATGTGGGAACGTTCCATGCACATATCACTGTAGGAATCATTGGATAAGTAAACTACTTCCTGCCAGCTGTGATGAAGATAAAAGAAATGAACGCCCCCTCAAATTGGATCATGACCCCATTCCTCCTGTTTGAGCCGGCGCTTAAGGAGGAGACATAGGCGTGGTTCCTTTGATAGACCAACGCTCGAGTCCATTCTGCGGTTCTGTCTACTTTCTCGTTTCATGACTTTACTATGGCCCTTGCGCCCTATTGACGAATTCCTTACTTGATCACACTTAGGGCGATATGTCTCATGACGGACAGCGCTGGCTCCATGTTCTTTAACAGAATGGATATAACAACCTAAGTTCCAATCATTATCAAAACGTCCAGATATCACTTCGACATCGGCTTTGACCTCTCAAATGATATCTGAATAGGTGATGCCCCCTTCTGCCTCTAGCATGTAGTTGGCGCCGTGTAGTATTAGGAGTACGCAGTAAGACTTCGAGGACAGCCCGTTGTTTTCGCCAAAAGTTGACAGTCAACCAGAAAATTAGAATTTGGGTTGTCCAGTCCCACAGTGATAGAAATTTGATGTTTGCCGTAAGCGTCCAAGGACCTCCAGTTGTCTTGCGAACACAGACTCTAATCCTTAGAGGTCTATTTACCTTTATTCTGCTTCGTGAAAACGTTTGGCATGAGTTAACGAAGACAATCAGTAAGTCGCGTTTAACACCGTCGTACAAAGTAAATCACGTATTTTATCTTGCTTTTTCTGGAACTAGCCGTGGTCGGCGATTTTGTCGTTGAAATAGGCATAAAATGCATTTTTCTGAAGCATGGTGTCTTGCTATTGCCATGGCAGGTCTCATTAGCAAACAATGTATTCACAGGTTCGCCCCTTTCCACGTGCATTTTGTTGCAGCCCTTGACAACGAGAAACTTTTAGCATAAATAGACCACTGACGATGAGGTCATGTCGCCTAATTCCCACAGTTTAGGCCAAAAAATTCTGCGTCCGTTTCGTTTGGAGTGCCTGAAGGAGCTAATAGGAAGAGGGAATAGGACGTATTGAAAGTAGGACGTGTTCTTCCATCGTGGCTTCTTTAGCAGTATCTCCAAACCTCTAACCATGAGAACTGTGTGGTTGTTGCGTTCACTACCACCGTCCAAATATGAGGAATGAGTGTAGGTGGTATTAAGGTCACGGTGGACTCGGTGGCGTTGCGACTGGTCAATAAGTTTAATTAGAACGTGCGAACCAGCTGGTGGAAAGCACGTGTACTTATAAAAAGAGGAATGTAAAGACATGCAGCTGACTGTAGCTCCAATGTCAGCCCTAAACACGCTCGGTAATTTTGACTTCCTCGGATCATCATAGTAATTCAAACTTATCAACCTGGAATCCACAGCCTAACCTGGTCGCTAATTACAGTGTACAGTTTGCAGTCGGTCGCCGACAGACTTTCGATCTAGGTTTGCCCACGCTGACCTGACGCACTGCGATCCGGAGTGCGCTCAGGCTTATTGTTTACCTCGCCCATCCACTTCATTATTTGGCCGTCCCGACGCGTTCGTTCGCCGCACGGTCAACTATCTAAATTGTAAAGTAGGCTGGGACAGTTCACGGGGTGCATTCATGTCCTACCTCAGAAGTTCGATGAAACCTCATCGCGCTGGTGTCTAGTTGACTCAACGTGCTCTCAGAGATAAACTTTCAAGTTATGTTTGAATGTGGCAGTAATTTGAATGTTATGTGAATTGATGTCGCCTGAGGCGTCGGAAACAAAACTGTCAAGCCTTTTTTGTCGTTTTAGCGGTGGTTTAGAACTGCATATTGGTGTAGAACACGCGTCGTAAACACATCGCAGCGAAATCCACGTTAACTACAGCAGCGCGGGACACACAGATACCTCTGCGGTAACTTCAGAGCCTAATTCATGTATGGAGCTATGGTCTGATCTCCCAGCCTGATCTTAACTCCATATCTATCTGAACTACCAGCCATGCCAATTTGGCGAAGGTGGGTGCACTTACCGACGACTGGCGTCTTGATACTGTGCAGTCAGTAGCTTGAATGAATGGGCAACGTCCCTTCTGTACTGCGCCGTTATAACGCTCACAGAATCAGGTTTGTGGTTAACAATGCGCAACTTATTCCCTCGTCCAAACGAGCAGTCTGTCGCATTTTCCACTTGAGATTCAGATTTACATATTAACGCGGTCGCCCTATAACGAATCGAACATCACGACTGACGAACTAAGGTCATGCGGTTTTCAAGTTTGACAACTAATTTAGCCTGCCTAGTTCGTAACTTTTTAACTACATTCTTCCCATAAAGCAGCCATGGCAAGTTTAATCAGAATGAACTTTCTCAAATGAGTAATCGAAAGGTACGAGGGATCTTATGCATATGAAAGCACGGAGAACTCAACTGCTGACAATGCCAAAGTATTTTTTGAAGAGACAGGGCGGCAGACGGCCCTTAAAAGACACTATGCAAAGTCGGGTGGGTGCGCATCTCCAGCGGCTATCGTAGTGGTTGTGGAGGCCCACCTATCAGTTATGTAGCCCGAAGAGCAAGGTAGTTTGATTGTAGCACGGAAGTCAACGATACAATGCATCATTCCAGGTTCCTACACATGTCCTACGTGTTCACCCGTTGGATCGGTTGCCCGACTCGTCAACGGGCGACAAATAGCGGAACGGCCTTCCGCAAAGTTTGAGCGTGAGATAAGCAGGCTTTCGGTTCTGCGAAATGGTCAGTCACGGACCAGCAGTAACAGTGCTATCCAGGACACCGAGAGTAAAGGTCGTGCACGCCGACCGTCTTATAAAATACAACAAACGCTGGTGACGGCACTGTGACAGGACGACTCTGAAGCCCATTAAACAATTCTTACCACTCCTGCTGCCTTGTTAGGTTCTTAAACTAAAGCGCTGGAGGAAATAACCAACAAGCAATCCGAGCGGCTGTAAGAGGTCCGTCTCCGTTCAAAATATCCGAAAAACCTCATGAAATGACCGACCCAATTATTATAGTCTATGCTAAGGTGTCCGGATGAACGGGCACGTTCCGCAACCCTGATCCGGTAGCGCGGACATTTAGTATGCCAGCTATATCACTGGATTGGAAATGGACTCTCGGTATTGGATGCTGAATTGTGCAGGCTCGGATGCTCTGGAAATAATGACCCCAGGAGTCAACTCTCACTTCACCCTATACCACAGTGGCCTACACGACTCTTCTGACAGACACGATGCGGTAACCACTCTCCCAGCGAGATAACCCGCATGAAGACCGACCAATGACTTGCTGGTTTACGTGCGACTGAAAGTTCACTTAACGAACATCTCTATCGCACCCGTGTACGCGCCAACATTAGCTGTTGACCAGCACGTCAAAGAAATCTACTTGCAGCCGCAAAGACTAAATCCCGCACCACAAACTATGCAGGACACAATTCGCAAACGACTCGACTTGGCACCGTTGGGATGTAATTCCATAGCGCGTGCGTTGCACACCGGCACTAAGCACCCACTCACCAGTTTTGTATGACCTTCTTCACCATGCATGTGACATTCGAATGGAAGAACCCGTTAGTCGACTTCTCTTTGAATAATTTTTCTCGACACGCATCCTTGTGCTCACTTTTTTAATCCTACTAAGGTGGACAGTGCATGTCTCACCCAGTTAAAATCTGTATATGTCCTGTGGAATCACAAATTTAGCGCCAGTCTAGCACTTCTTTCACATTCCAGAACAAGACACTGAAATGGCCACCCCTGACCTATCAGTAGTCATTAGCCAGTGAAGTTCTTCCACACCGCCAACGTCATCAGACTGAAGACCTCGAAGTCCTCACTATTCTGGAAGTCGAGCCGGGCAATTTTACATTTGGAGTCAGCCCCGACATCAGATGAGCCGTCCAGTTTATACCAACTCCAGCCAGAAAATAGAATTTCCGTTTTTGGCATTTGTCAGCTGCAAAGGAGCCTTTGGTGTCCAGCCAGAATTGGCAACGCCCTGACATCCCTACCGTGTATAATCTCCGCTGGCAGCCTTTCTCTTTTCACCGGCTCTCGTCTTAAAGCAGGCGGGGTGCCAGCCCATAACATAATTCCCCAGAGCCCGACTTATAACCTAGTCCCTTGACCTCATGGTTATCTGTCCCCCAGGCTCCTTCACATGGCATGGCCTTTATGTCGGCGGCCGCGCCCCAGGTCAGCCCCGCAACCGATACTACAGAAACCGAGGAGGTCGAGCAGGCAGCGACAAAGACCGCATTCACAGTCAAACTGGTGAAATTCGACGCCGCCAAGAAAGTTGCACTCATCAAGGAAATCAAGGCACTTCTTCCGGATATGAATTTGGTACAGGCGAAAAAGTTTGTTGAGGTAATGAGTGGAGATTTTAATGTTCTTAGCCTTTGTATAAAGTGAAAAGCTCGCCTGCAGTCTTCTGCAAGCAATAATAGCCCAGGCCGACAATTTCGACGACACAATAATTTGTGCCGGCTTAGTATATGAGTGACTATCCAACCTAAAGCTGCGACAATGTTTACGTCTTCATATGTGCTGTACTCTCCCCGAAGCTCAACATCTAACGGCTGTTTTATTTATTTATTTCAAATCAAGGCCGCTCCGGGTATCCTAAAAAAGGATTTGAGCAAGGACGAGGCGGAAGCAATGAAAAAGACTCTAGAGGGCTGCGGAGCAACCGTGGAAATCGAGTAACTGAGCGGTCTGCTCGCAGAATTAGTCCTATTTTGCATGCACTTTTTATCGTGTAATTTGTAAATAGAATTCTCTGACTGATACAGTGTTTTTCGACTTTCAATTTTCACATCCGACCGTTTGGGTAACAAAACCAGTTGACGGGCCGGGCGCGCCTTTCGGCCTCTGTGAACGGTACTCGCGGAGGTTGTATAGCTAATCCGTCCGTAGTGGTCGTGGTCGGAGGAGCAGGTTGGATTTCCGATGGGGCGCACACTTCAGAAAGCTTTCTCCAAAACGCGGTGGTGACTTTAGACATCGGCAATCTTTCCCGTGGCTCATATATTGCGCCGATATGCTCTACCCTTTTCAAACTTCCTGGCCAAGATCTACTTTCTGCAGTCCTAAACCATCGTCCCTCTCAAACTTGGAATTATTGTTTCGTCTACGAGGATCTGCCGGTGTAAACGTATCGCTCAGATCAACCAGCTTTCGATATATGGTGATGCTTTTCGGTTAAATACGAACTACACAATCTTCAAATAATATTATTTGTAGCGGCATTCCTGACATATAAATAGCCCTTAACAATGTCCTGTGGCAAATCACCGATTCTTCTGTATTCTTCGACTGAGACATAACGCAGAGTTGTCCTTGGGTCCTTCAAGTTTGTTGGAATCCCGCTGAGATCGGAGACCTTGAGTTGGGGCCGAAGGCTCGGGGGGGCCTCCAGTTGTTGGTATAGAACGGTGCCTTCTGGCCATTGGTACTACGGTAGAAAGGAAGGTCAGCCCGTGACGGAACGTCCGCATACCTGGTAGTCGCTATTCACGAGTTGACGATATGACCTGGCGGGTGTCTTCTTGCCCAGGGATTTCTCCGCGGTCTTCTTGAAGGGGTAAGTTGTCTCCATCTTCACATCAAGTCAGAAACGTGATTACTCCAAAGTGCGTATCCTAAAGCGGTTTCTCTCTTGCAGGACCTCCGATCGGCGTGCGCTGAAAGGACGGGTGAAGTGATTAGATAAAGACTACAGGATTTTGAATGGCATTAGGAAATAATCGGGAGTTGAAATACTTACCTCGGCCACTATGACAGACGTCAGAGTTTCGCAGAATTGATAGTTACGCTTCTTATTCATGGCCTTCCTGTGGTTACTACCTGGAGGCTGCGAATAAACACTGGCCGGTGGAGGTATATTCCCGTCGACAATAATTTTAAGCAGCCTACATGGACAGAGATACACGCCAAGCAGGCGCTGAGAAAAGCCTCCCCCGATGTGCTCTACAACTGGGCAGTGATTGACCATTTGATGGAGGCCTAGCTTCTACGTACTTCGCAGGGGTACGGATGCCTTCCTACCGTTCACCACTCGGTATAACTGCTGGCTTCCCGGCGCGTCCGCAGCTGGCGGATAATAAAACAGCCTTCAGCCAAGGGTGGCTGCGAGATAAAGAGGCCCTCGGGTCTAGCAAATAAACAGCCACAGACCAGCAGCGACGGCACTGTGAGATGGCGATTTTGGAAACTCACTACACGGGTCCTTTTGCCATCGTTGCCCTGTGGTTAGGTTCTTTGGCCGAAGTGATAGATGAAACAATCTTGGACAAACAATTCGCGCAGTTGTTAGAGACCAACTTGTGTACAAAATTCCCAAGAAACCTTATTAGATGACAGATTCAAGTATGCAGAATGATATTACCGACAAAGACAAGGGAGACTGGAATGGCCATTTCTGGCTTATTAGCCGTCGTCAGCCAGCCATACCCAAGCCCGAAGTGTGGAACACCCGAGCCTCGAACTCGCGACCT